GTCCCCTTTACCTTTGGCCCAACATCGGTTTTGATGTTGTATTCTTCAAGAATTGCCATGACAAGGAGGGCATAGGGGAGCGGCCGATTGTCGGAGGTGGCCGTGAACATGTGAGTCATCACAAATTTACACCAATTGAGATTGGCGTTGTGAATCATCGCATGGATCGTCTTCGTGTCTTCTTGGGAGAGATTGGTGTGGTTGAACTTCTTGGGCTTGAGGATCCGTGTCAACACATAGAAGATGAAACGATATACGGGACTCATGGAAGAAATCGTAGGGCTCCGCTGTTGGGGAGTGGGTACGAAGTGACGGATGCCCACTTCCTCCAAGAGAGCGGTCTCATTGAACCGCGCCCCCTCTTCTCCGGTGTAAAGCCCGAGATCCTGTCCGTCCCGACGAAGCCCGGTGAGGATTTGAATGTTCTCTTCATTCAAATAAATGTCCACCCCGTTGACGTTTGAAATCAACGATCCGTCCTCATCCTTTTTCAAGTTCGAATAGAAAGCTCGAACCAGAAAAGGTTGATAATTGACCTTCTTGATGTAGAGGAGATCGAGGAAGTTTCCACGTTCAAGGATAACCCGTGCCTCACGTGGAATGGAGTCATGAATGAAGCGGGCGGTGGAGAATCGGGGAGGGAGAATTTCCCGATGCTCAAACTTCTCCGAGAACCTTGTAGCCTCTTCGCGGTCGTTGAACCAAAGAAACGTCCCGTCAAGGTATTTGTGCGTTGATGGTGGAGGAGCCAAAGAGGAAGCAACGTTCTTGCCGGTGCGGGAACGCTTTCTTTGACCGCCTGCCATTGCAACAAGAGAGGAGAGAGAGATTGCAGAAATTTTTGAAGAGAAAAAATGAAGAATAGGAGCAAGAATGATGAATTATGATGAATATATGGAGAAGAGATGATTGGAATGAGTAAAAATGAAGTAGATATCGCCAATATATAGTGGAGGAGGTGTAGAGATCCGTTGGGATGGTCAAACAAGGCATTAACTGCTCTCCAACGTCTTTGCAACGGTCAGATTTTTGAAAAATCTCCGTTGATAATCGATTATCATGACTTGTCAATCGATTATCAGATGCCTCAGATTCTCCGCTGATGGTCCTGCAGTCTTCAATAGTCGATTGCCATGTTTGGTAAATCGATTGTTGGAGTTTGCGCCTGAGTTGCCTTAAACTTCTGCAGGCTCAGATAATCGATTATCTTAATGTTGATAATCGATTGTTTACTCCTTCAGCTTTTGTGCTCTAAACTCCTGCGGGTTGTGATAGTCGATTATCACAAGCCTGTAAATCGATTTACACTCAGTCCTGGGAACTAGAAATTGATTTCTTTTGTTCCCCCTGGCTTTAACACCTACAATGAAAACATTTTGGTACCCGTTTGATCTTTTGGGTCCTTGAGGATTAGTAACACGACTTTTTAAACTAATAGACACATGCACCAATAATCACATACACATGGTACGCAAACACACACACACACACACACATGTACCAACATGTGTGTTTAAGTGTTACCTTGGCCAACTCGTCCTTTTGCGGTTGGCGGGTTCCAGTCTACTCGAACCGAATGTCTGTACCTCGGTTTGACTTGTGTGGGCTCCGGAAGTGGTATGTGAATCTTATTCTTTTCATCATAATAGAAGAAGTAATATGGTTTCTTTTGCGTTGATTCCTGCAGGGATTGGTTAGAGTTCAAATATCCTTTTTGAAAGGATTTCATTCGGTTAGTTCCATGCAGAGTGTATGTTTTGTTATACGTGTAATGCCTATGCCTACTAAAACACACGGGTGCTATATGACCTACCCTATTGCAATAATGACAAACAACATTTGGATTATGCATTCTCCTAGGTTGATAATAGTTGTTAGGTTTTCTAACTTGATCATTGTTCATCCTAGTGTTCTTTCTAGGTAGTCTAGTGTTCCTAATTGTTCTATGTTGTCTATATTCTTGATTTTCATTATTCCTAAGTTGAGCTTTAGGTTTCCTAGATGGTTGCTCAACTTTTTCCTTATTATTAGGTTCATTTTCAAATCCTAAGCCATGTTTAGTAAGTTGCAAATTATCAAGAACATCATTAAGGTTTTTATGAGAAACACCAAACTTCTTTAAAGTTCCTTCAAGTTTTGCAACTTGATCCTTAAGTGATATACAAGAACTACATTTTGAACTTTCCGGTTTGTCGGCGCTTCTTTTTCCGAAAAACTTATTTTCTTCTTTTAGTTTTTCATTATCTTTTGATAGTTTATCAACTTCCTTCTCCATGGAAGTAAGTTGTTTCTTCAAATCCTTGTTAATTTTAGAAGCGTTGACATATTCATCAAAAAGTTCATTAAAGGCTTCTTGTACATCATCAAAAGTATAGGAATCTTTAGAAGTGGTACATACCTCTTCCGGTGGTTCCTCGTGTGCCATGAGACAAAGGTTGGCACTTTCGTTTTCTTCGCCTTCCGATGATTCGTCGCCGGAATCACCTCCCCATGAGATGTAGGCTCGGTGCTTCTTGAACATTTTATTCTTGTTCTTGGCGTTTGGACATTTTGGTTTTATATGCCCAACTTCTCCACACCCATAGCATTTGGGTGG